TGCAGCCTGTTACTGCTTGTACATTGTTTACCTGGAAATAACAGGGAATACGTTTTGCTGTGTACCTTCATTCATAAGCCCTACTGTTGGAAACTTCTTTATTATAAGACACGCGTTGCTGGGAGTGGCCAAAGAACTCCAGTGAAGGATCTGTTCTAGAATATTCTCAGTGCAATGCAAGGGACGTTCTGGAAGAGAAGAAACAATTAAATATGTAATTATTTGTGCTCTTGAAGTCAGTTCTTCATTCTGGGTATTGCCATACATACTATAAAAATCAAATTCCATATTTTGACCAACTAAATGCAAGTATACCCAGAGTTAACACTTAAGTTGCTTGTGTATAGAATATATAGAATCTTCTTTATTTTACAGACTTTTTAAGTAGCAAAAACTCATTTAAAGCAAGCAAGAGATTAATATAGTGCATAAAATGACTTGTTGCTCTCTCTAGACACTTGTATGGGCCATCTATAGGAGAGACAACCATGCTGAATTAATCTGGCTGATCTCCTCTCCTCCCAAACATCAAGCAGATTTTTCAGAAATCAGGACTCTCAAGCATTCAGGAAATCACTGCAAATGTGTTTCCTTTGATTTGTCTTTTGTGAAATTACTGATTATATGTTTGCAAAAAGAAAAAAGAATGCCTACGCCAAGTAACTCAATTGTGGTTATCTCTCATATGGAAAGAATACCTGAGCCACACCCCCTGGTCCCAACTTATCCATCATCCCTTCTTCCCTCCAGTTAGAATCCACATGTTGGATGAATAGATCTGATGAAGAAAGCCTAATCTTCATCTATGAGCTTCCCCACACACAATTCAGAATCCTGACTGCAGAAAATTCTAAGACACATAGGGACAGGTTCTTCTGTATTTCTCCCAATTGCAGAGACAAGAGATGCATAATATTTTCTAGTCCAAAGGTTACATTTGACCTGCGATGTCATGCTGGGGTACACTCCCCCAAAAATCGGTGAGTGAGGACAAAACAAAAACTAAATTTGACTGAATTTCATCTACTTATAAATTTAATTAATACAGAGATAGTAAAACTCTGACCATGTATTTAATAACTTTGTCACACACACACAAAAATACAATTGGGTCACAACTCTGGGGGATGTGTGAAGCTCTGGGCATTGGTTTGTGTACCCCTAGTGAAGACAGTGAGCAATAAAACTGGAAGGGGATATCACAAGCCAGCAGTCTCTCTGGTTCTACATATTTGGCTCCAGTTAAAACTATATTGGTATTACAGAAAAAGCACATTTTATTCTTGTTGAAGAAGCTCATGATATTATGGTGATCTCATCCACAAGATTTTGTGAATACATCCTTGAAATCTTATGCATCCACATATAAAAAAGATAGTTTCCTGTAAAATTTGATAGTATGTATTGATTGTTTTGGGGTAGGAGGGTCCACAGATATCATTTAGAGACATCACGGGCAACATTTTTTCATCTCAACATTATAGAAGAGACCAATACATTTTGTAAAGAGACCACTCAGAGACCAATACTTTTTGTAAAGATGAACAGTACCCTTTCCCAATTTGAAACCCTTAAATGTAAAGGAGCACAACTTCCCTGATTTCCAGACACACAGCCAGTGCTAACTGGGGAATGACGGGCACTGTAGTTTAACATCTATGGTTAACCCTGGATAAACCAGGCTGGAAAGGTTGCACAAAAGTGAGTTTTGTCTACATTTTAGGAAGCATCAACATAGCAAGAGGAATGCCTTTTAATACAGTAATTTAAGACAAGGTCAAGATGATGCTGAGGAGGTCAAGATATAGCTTTCTTCCAATGCCTATTGCAAAATTTAATGGAGTTATTTACACAAAGGTGTGATAGCTTCAACTCTACCTTAAAGAAATAGTTTCAGAAACAAGGGCATCAAAAGAAGGCACATCAACAAATTATGTGTGAGCTCCCTAAGTAAATGTGTACTGCTTTATTTACAGGTATGTTGATATACTATATAAAGCATAAATCATTCTACAGAAAAACATTATTTTACTAGCAACGTACATTATTTGCAAACTATCCATCTTATCAAAATTACTACCAAAATAGTATATACCAGAGATCCCACCACAGCAAGCCGCCTGCATAAGGCCAGATAACTTCATTTTGTATCTCTGCTGCTTAATATGTAAATAATTCAGCTGATCATTAATATTTTAGTTCCAACATTTCAGACATCTAACTGTCAAACTTATATATCCCATTATTCTGCTCCCAAGGTTGCCAGTAAACAGTGCAAGAATTGTTTGTTCCAATCTAACAATAAATATTAGAAGGAAATTGCATTCTGAAAAAATGTGGGATTTTAATATACCTGTCTTCTCAGAATTTTGTTTCACCTAGTAAACAATTACAATTTGAGCTGAGATTTATTAAAAGAAATACTGAATTCCCTGCAAAGCAGACTAGGTTATTTCACTAGGAATGTAGCACTTCAAAATAGGGACTCAGTGGATTAAACACAGCTACTTGTGAAGATAAATGTGCACCCACAATTCTCCCAACAGAAACTGCTATGTTTCTAGCAGTCTTCTCTCTTCTAGAGAGAAGAGTTCCACCATTGTATGGTCTCCAACGTATTGCATTTCATGGTAAAAGGATTTATCTTAATTTTAGAACTCAAGTCATTCTGGAGGCAGTGAGCCACATTCCAATGTGTTGTATGATCTAAACAAAGATGAAGTCTCAGTAAGAAAGAGAGAGAGAGAGAAAAAAGATAGTCACCTACTTTGTGCTCTGAAAATGCCATCCAATTCTTTTGTTCCAAAGGGTTCTGCTCATTACAGTAAGTGGAAGATTTTCACTTCCCTTCCAAAGGTACGTTTCTCCTTCTCTTATTAATTCATGTCTACTTTGATCCTTCCCTTTCTTTCAGCCATCTCTCTCTATTTCCACAGGTTTTTTTCCATGGGTGTGTTTGATTTAACTCAAAGAGTTACTGAAATGAAGCTGTTCAGCTCACCAGAATGATATCCAGCTCTTTAGACAGACTATAAATATTTCGGATCTACAATGCATCCAGAACACCACAAACCATTTCTTGTGCTGGACATTTCGTTGCCATCTACATATGAACCACCCATTGCATACTTAGAGGAGCAAATTTTAAAGGAAAAGCAGAACATTCCAATAGAAAAACAGAACGTTCTCAAGCAGTTTGCATCCCAATGTAATATTTTGCAAATATCCAGTGCAGGGTTCCTCAACCGTGGCAACTTTAAGATGGGTGGACTTCAACTCCCAGAATTCCCC